ACAGAGTGACGCAGCCGGAAATCATAATATATAATTGCTTTTGTAAGGAAATACCAATTTTTGTCGACTCGTACAGCAGCCTATTGTACCTCCAAGTTCACCATAAATAGACCGACTTAGCGATCTGAATCACATGATCTAAATTGGGTAACAAACATGAATGATGTGATGACGCCAGTAGACTATTCCAGATCGCTTAGATATGGGGATAATGTCCAAATCTGCGTACTGCGATTAAATTATGATTTATAGGTTGGCTGAAGGTACACAGGGCGTTATGTTGAAGCCTAAAATACTATTTTATACTATACTATGAAATGAGTGTAAAATTTGTTTGCCATTTAATTGATGTTCATGTTGTCAGTGGACCATTGTGTTTAATCCATAAAATTTTGTTTCATTTCATTTATTTATAATAAAAGAAGCTTAATAATCAAAACAAAAATTACAATTGAAAAGTCTCCCTCTAATTAAAGACCCCTCCAATTAAAGACAACTTTTCTGTGGTCCCATATTAACATGTCTTTTGTCTTTATTATTCTAATTAGAGACCAAATATGACAATGGAAACAAACCCATGTCCCAAAATTGGTCTTTTGGAGGGATTGGAGGGAGGCATGTACTACCTAATTTGGTTTGATCCTTATACCCTTATACAGTACTAATGATGATATACAGTATGTTATCCCAATATCATTGGGATAACATACAGTATGTTATCCCAATGATATGTCACATAACCACACTAGTTACTGTGGTAACTAAATAGACTTTTCTACTAAGCCCCGCCTCTTGGATATTAGGGAGCTTTCGATTTGTGCGACGACGCGACGCTAGCACGGAAGCACTCATGCGTGACCGTCTTACCTGGCTTCCTACGTTCTCTGCATACGTAGATTTTGCCAAATTGCGTTCAAGAACCTTAAATTTCTCGCATGCGCAGATGACTTTTAGTGACGTCATTACATTCTAAGTCCTACTGTCGTCGTGCAATCGAAAGCTCCCTAATGTTGCTATGGTCACAAAATGATTGTGTTAAAGCATACGCAAATGTGTGTTTCGGGGGCAACATGTACACTTGTTAGACTCGCATATTCCTGGTACTGTTCTGATTGGTCGGTTGTTAAGCTTGATTGACATTCCGAAAAGGGCCATTGATCAATTGATTCTTATATTTAGCTAGATGCTAAGTTTATCTAAATTCTCCATATCTACTTCGATATCCAACGATACCACATGACCACGCTATTAATTTTTAGAGCCCAATCACACTTAATAGTTACGTTGCCTCAGGGCCACCTTTTTTCAAATGTGAATATTCAATAAATTTTAAGCTGGCCCAGAGCTGACCTAATAGTCCGACTTTAAAGTTGGCAAAGTTCCCGCAATGCAGAACAGACGCTGTGAGTTGGACATGGTTAAGGTGGCCCTGGGCCGATTTAATGGTTTAGAAGTTACATGTATAGATGCTAAGTTTATCTCTATTTCGATATCCAGCATCTCTATTTAAGTATGTTGCTTTTGTGTAAAGCAATATTTATATACTGGCAGTGTCATGGGATCAGATTTTGAGGAATGAGCTCGACATGCAAAAATATCAGCTCCCTGCAAAATTTGCCTAGTCATGGCACAGTATGTTTTTGTACACAAACTAGTACATTCAGTATAGAGGGAACGATCAAGGTGGGGATGGGGCACTAGAGCCCCTCTCCCTCATAAAAAGAGATTAATATGTGTTAGCAAGGAATTCTATAATACTATGGTAGTCTAGGCTATATTATATACAGTACATTATTATTGAATTCAGCCCAATGTTCACAATGGACCACAGTGGCCTTTTGTATAATTATCAAGGTCATATAATGGGTAAATATAAATATGTAGAGTATAGGCCTAAGGTAATTCGTGCTTAAGCCTAGCTGTTTCCTTCCGGGGTATACCGATGTGGTTGATGTCTCATTTTTAATGTTTGGAGGAAAATGAGGAAGTGATCACTTTGTGTAGAGTTATTCAAAAGAAATTAGTTGTTAAACGGAAATCCTCGCATTATGCAACCGATCAGTTTCAAATTAATATTTATCTGACACATGCAGACGCTTTTGAAATGTTTATAAATTTGAAATTCTATACACATAGGTTTGCCAACAATGCAATGATTTTGAGAACATCACAGATTTGTTTATGTGCTACTATAACAGATCTACACTAATTGCATTATTACATTATATAGAAAAAGGGGATGATGACAGGATTTCCCCATTATTATTTATAAATCTAAGATGCCACCACACACGAAAAAGTAATTTCAGAAATTTGCGGATAGGGGGGTGTCTGATAAGTCCCATAGTAGGATCTAAACCAAAGAAGTGACATTGGCAATAAGAGGTCTGATTTGATATACAGTATTTGATATCCTAATAAAAAAAAAGATATACAGTAGAACCAAGAAGCACAGAGGCAAACGTTATTATCTGGGATAAGACGAGACTTTAATTTTATACCTTGTGTACATTAGCAAACCCTCTGACCGCCAAAAATGGTGATTTTAAATAAAATCTCCGACATTACTACACAGTTTAATTCTTTGATAAAATTTTATTTTTATTTTCTCTCCATAGAAGGTTTTGGCAAAATCATTTTACTAAATTTGCAAACAAAATTTTATTTTTATTTGTTTTTTGGTTTTTTTTTCTTTGCCCTCTTTCTGATGATATTAAAAAAATAAGTTTGTGAAACAAGGTATAAAAAAATGCCTTTTCTAACCTTCTACATCTTAACACGGGACTTTCCAGATAGCTTCAATACTTGTTGGACATAATGGATAGGCATATCCGAGTTATAGTCCATAAAATAATATACACTTTGCTATCTATGATAATAAATGGACTTATCACAATGTTGATCTAAAGACTAAGTCATCATTACGTAAATGTTTCAAACTAGTTCCCAATGATCATTAATAACCTAAAAAATTCCCAACAAGGATAAGTACAATTGGATTTGAATTAGAAATCAATTTTTTATGAAATGGAATTCATGTTTTCTATGAAGAGAAACAATTGCTACTCCTAACAGTGAAATATTCTAGTACGGTATGTTATGCTATAGCAGATCTGGCCTTGACCTAAAGCAGTGGAATCAATATCTATGAATGTTAACACTAGCATATCAGCTTCAGACTTGTAATGTAATAAGAAATATAACGTTTTATTGTTAATATGATAATTGTAGTGTCATGCTTTGCTTGGCTGTACTTGCATTAAAATTGGCACAATAGATGAAACAGTCAATGGATAATTATAATAATAATGAAGGTAGAAATGTATTATAGGCCTATATTATATATATATCGGTAGGCTATATCTACTGTATCTAAATTCTTATACTTTAAGAATTAAGAAAGATGCAATCAGTGGAACTATAAAAATGAGCAATAGTGTCTGTCTAAAGGCCAACTCAGCCTTAACATATTTTATATTTCTTTTTTGAAAACATTTAGAGATACAGGCAGCTCATTAATATCAACATTGTACTTATTGCAGGTTATGGCCTACTGAGGGTCCGATTCAAGAGGCCACCTACAGTCTTGGTGAGGGACTTGAAATAAAATACCATCTAGTGGGGTTTAGGATGGCCCAAATTTTTGTTAATTTTTTTTGATTGGCAAATTAATATTTTATCTATTGACCTTGTGGCATCAGATGATGGGTGTCCATGCTTGCCTGATGGGAGAAGCTTAAAGTTTTAAAAGAAATATTTAATTTTTGAATATCTTGGTATTATAAACATTTTATTTACTGTTTTATAATGGTTTTTGTAGTAAATACAGGTTTCCCTCTAATTAACTCCCTGCTCTAATTAAAGACCACCTCCAATTTAGGAACATTTTTCTATGATCCCAAATTAACAAATGTCTTTTATCTTTATTATTCTAATTTTTAGAGACCAAAGCTGCTAAAGACCATGTAAACCCCAATCCCAGAGGTGGTCTTTAATTGGAGGGAGACCTGTCATAATTTTAAAGATGTATTGTCCCATGCTAAATACCAAAAAAATCATTAAAATATTTAAAAAAATTAACTTGCCCATTTTGAAGTAACATAAAAGTTATCAACTTAAACATAGAAGTTAGTGTACAGTATTTAAAAAATATCTACCCATCATTTACAGCGAAAAATGATAGAAACACTTCCAGTTACTGGAAGTGTTTTAATATTTTTATTATAATTTTTTGGGTTTAAAAATTAGGGTACACATTTTTAAAATTCAATAATTGTTTTGCACAAATTAATAATTTATATGCTATTACAATATGAGCAAGTTTTTTTCAAAATTATTTTTTAAGATTTTTTAAAATTAGCAAGGGACAATACATCTTTAATCAGTGAAACAAAAACATTCAGGGTATCTTTTTAAATGAGCAATTCATTTTTTTTTATTGAACTTGCCACTTCATCCCCCCCTTCCCCCTCCAATACGATTTTATCATTGACTGATACCTGTAGGTATACTTTAAAATGTGTGTGTTATGTAATAATGACTAATAATTATTCCTGACCTTATATATATATTTATATATATATATAATATAAATCAAGGAAGCCGTTAACACTGTTAAATCATATATAAATCATCAAAGAAAGGTAAATACAGTGTTCGAATAAAGGACTTAATAAATACATCGTGTAGCATAGCTCTCAACGAATGTAGTCCTGTAAATAAATGAATAAAGAAATTGTGTAATAAAATGCCTCTGGCCTGTCTCTTATACACGTTCAGATTCAATATTATTATTACCCAATTACAATGAGACTAAAAAGAAACCTTGACCCTGGAGGCATACCTTGACTGTATAGAGCACATTTGTATTATTTGTTAAAATGAAGGAGGATTAAATATTATACCAGGTTTTAACCTCACAATTATTTCATCATCCCTGTGCTGTTAATGGTATGGCCCTCTAGCAACAAACACAATAGGTTATTTTTTGTTAGAGATGACTGTGCATAATTCCAATTGTGAAGGTCACACATAGGCAGTCACCTTCTTTGATTATCATGTTAGCCACTAAGTGAGAGCACTTAAATCCAGAAAATATTGAAATGGTTAAAGAATTCATCTACTTTCTGTTTTCAACCAATCTTCTTCACTCATAATCAATCATCAGTTGTTCATTACTGTGTTTTATAGAATGTGACGCTGTGACTGGGCGACAGGGAGCAGGCTGATTAAACTACTACTACTACTGTACATGTATTTAACAACAGTCTAGCAGGATTCTATAACATACGTTTCCTACTATCTAAGGTTTACATTGATACTATTTAAGCATGATGACGGTGTTATATATTGGCAGGCGAATTTGATTTTGAAAATGATGTTGTACATCAAAATGGAGTGGACTATTTGACAGATGCTGGTAAGTGTGTTGTGTTGCAATCAAAATGTTCCTATTTCAATGATGTCTGAATGAGTCATTGGTCTTTTCCAAGAGTAGTGTTTTTGTTTATTAAGACTACAATGCTGCGTTGGTGTAAACACCACCAATAATTATAGGATGTTTATATGTAACTATGTATGTAGCTCTGCTGTTACTCTCTCTTAGTTGTAAAATCAATTTTTTCTTGAATTCAAGAACATAATAATTTTGTCACTTTACTGATTATGAATCAGGAATTTCCAGTATTTATTTCTTGTTCATAATGATTAAGGTCATGTGTCATGGATTTTTGGTAAAAAATAATATATTTGCAGAGGATAAATTTCATTTCTACTTGCATTAGATTTAAAATAAGAAATACATAGATTTGTTTATGGTGTGTCCTGGTAACCTATTGTAAAATAATATAAAAATTCATTGTTGTTTAACCATGAAAGAGGTATAAACCCAGGCTGTATTGTAAGGCCTGCACAGGGAATACAGTGTATCCTCCGCTCAATTTTAGGCCTAGAAACCTGTTATTTCAGATATAATAAGGGCCAACTTGCACACAAGTTTTGCCAAAAATTAGGCTTTGACTTATTAATGACCAATGAATTTTGACATGTACAGAAGTTACAATTCTATGAGCCTATTTTTATAGCGGTTTTCTGTGCAAATTTGAGCTACTGTAGTTTTTGAGGTGTCATCTATGCATTTAAAATACTTTACAGTAAGGGTATAAGCCTTCAAAATCATACATGAAACAGTCATTTAATAGGCGTGTGTCAGTGTATTCATATTATAAGTAAATGTAGATAGTTACATAGAGAATGTAGAATACTGTACATCTTTGATATAAACCCTTTAAGAGAACCGGAAGAAATATTAAAGTAAATATGAAGGTATGTGAATAAGGTGGTAATAGTATGACCAATTAAGATTTAATTCATATCTGGCTATTATTCTTGTTCTGAATAAGAGTACTATTTCCTGTAAGTTATTAGATTTATTATACTTTGATTTGATTATTTTTTTTAAAACTTTATTATTTATATGTAACAGTATCCAAGAGGTTCCAAATCTGTATTAATGTAATTGAAGAAATATAATTTTGTGTCTTTTGTGTCTACTGTACAAAAACTATTGTCGGGGTAGTATAATCTGATAAAAAATGACAAGAATACGAGGCTTTATTCTGACTAAAATAACTTTGCATCATAGGGTGAGGATTGTACAGTATTTAGAGGTCCTACTGATACATCTGCATCTTGAGGTAGGGAAATTACTTACTAACAATACATCCTAATGATCCACATACTGTACCCCCAAATTTAAATTTAAATAATGAAATTTCCTAACACATCTAATTACATTTTGGTACGTGTGATGATGCCCATCACAAGCTGACTACAGGAGACTATTGATAACATACACATTTTTAAGTAAAAGCATGCAAATATCATGAATTAGCAGAAGATAAGTTGGTTTCCGGGAGACACCGCGACTCTTGCGAGACTTTGAACCCCTGCGTTACACTACAAGTACACTTAACCAAGTATGTTTAATGATACTGAAGAAACTTAACACACATAAATAGGCCTATTCTAAAACTTTGGTGCATACTACTATACAATACATTAGCTCAGTGTTGGCCGACAAATTTGACCACGTTCAACGTGATACCTCATTTGACACAACACGAGTAATGCAGACCATCATTGGAAGTCTGAGTTGATTGTAGTTGAAAAACGATCCGACGTCGCTGTCTTAATGGAATCACATTGGCTGCTGACACAGTGTGGGCTTTTGTCTTAAAAGACTAAAAGTTGGGATGTTTTTGGTTTTTCTTTAGTAAGAAATATTGAACCAAGACCTTAGGATGAGAAGGCTTATTTTAGGAGCTGTAGTCTTTTCTGTGCTATCTCAATTCATCCTGAAAATTTAATTTCAAAATCCAATAAAATTAGCCACTTGTAATTATATTTAATAAGCATAAAATAAATAATTAATTTTAATTAAAATTTATTATTAGACATTATTAGAAACAAACAAATCTAAAAAAGCAATCATTGTGATAGATCACAATCACAATATGGGTTTAATAATGGTATTTGCAATTATAATATATAACAATAATACTCTTGTGTATAACTTCAATGTGTCAGCTGTGTAGACTACTATATGATATTACTTAGTTTTGTATTTTCATGCATGTCTTTACCTTTGACCTTCCATTAATACTATATTTAGGGCCTACTCCTTCCTGTGTTGAGAGTTGGTTGGTTTTCAATACCATTGACCAAATTGTATCTTCTCAAACTTTAATTCATTCTAACAGGGAAGCTGTTAAAACTATTAACTGTTCACTGTTCAAATTACTCATGATTGAATTAATAGTAATGTTGTGTGCAGCAGTGTCTAATTTTGAGAGAAGATGAGTATGGGAAACTGATATTAAAGCTTAGGGTGGTAGTCATTTTGAGGCTAATACATAAACGATTTTGTCAATAGATACTTCTCTAGCATCCAGCAGCAAGAACACTGACTTTATAGGACAGAATGATGCTTTGTAAACTGCTGTAAGTTTCTTCATGAGGCTTAGTAAGTGGAGCTGTTTTTCCTGGTATCATGTAGGATTTGAACCCAGGACCTGAGATTGGAAGAAGCCAATCAACTTAATTACTAGCCTACATCAAACCTACCTGTAATACAGACTGTAATGTGATCAGTGGCAAATTGAGGAATTTGAAATAGAGGGGACCCAGGGAGGGACTTCCACAGATAGAGGGTCTGTACCATCTCAGCCCCACCGTGGTTGGGACTGAGGTTAGAAAATTTTTAATTCTGGTGCATCTAGATGGCCGGAAACGGAACTCTTAAGACTAAAAAATTTAATATAATTTTCTTTTCCTGTTCTTTTGTTTTTGTTTTTGTTTTTTTTTTATATTGAAAAATTTGGGTGGCCTAGGTCGGCTGGGCCCCTTGAATCTACCACTGATGATGTTTAAGCATATTGCAAATTTACTTCTAACATAATTGGGATCAAATAAAATACTATATTTTGTAGTATTTCCAGAATTCTACTCAAGATTAATTTTCATCTAAATCTTTTAAATTTTTCTATTCATCATTTCGTCAATGAAATATTTCATTAATGGAATTTGTATTCATACTAATATTTTTTTTTCTTTTATCTCTGGTTATTTTCCTAAAGGCATTTTCTTCTAGATTCTTCCTCACCTGTGTGTTGCAAATCAGTCTTTATAGTAGTCATAGCCTGTGTGTAATTTATCATGTACATTAAGTATAACCAACTCAGTTGAGATTCAGTGACAGTACAGTATTAACATATTACAATTCAAATGTAGACTAGGCACATGAATATAGACATCTGTGCTCTCTTTCTAGAGAGCTTAGATGTAGTAACTAGTGTATACAGCGGGGGCCTATCATTTGTTTTTTATTTTTATTTTTTGTTTCACTTCTTGTATTTTATTTCATTATCATTTAATATACAACACCCTCTAATTCTAACTTGTGGCAGTATGGGTTTTTCGAAAAAAAAAAAAATTTTAATCCAGTTTTTGAATTCTGTTAATGGCCTACAATTATTTTTTGACTTCATGTAGGTAAATATTATAATTTTTATTTTTTGAAATTTAGTCTAAATTATATTCACACAAATGTTGTTGGATAAATTAGTGTAACGCTGATTAACACACTCTGGTTTACGTTAATTTTCGTTGTCAACAAAGTCTATTTTGCGAACCTGTCGAATGAAAATAATACTCAACGGAAAATTGTAGTCAACGACATGAACCAGTCGAATATGCCCATTGTTTCACTTAAAATAATAAGGATGATATATAGTAGTCTCAAAAAGTGAGACTAGGTACAGTATGTCTGTTGGGAGAGAGCTGCTGTAGTATAACAGCTGTATGCCTCCATTACAATATACAGTATATTGCAATTACCTATTTTCTTACTCCCAATTTTTATTCACATTCACGCCTACCTATGATTTGCACAGATGGTTGTGGTAGAATATCAGTCATCATGTATTGTATTATTGTGCTCATTAAAGGGGTTTATGACTTGGTTCCAGCTTATCATTAGTATCATCTCTAGGCAGGCTTCCTTGGAGTTGGTTCATTGACACCGGCATACAATATTTTATTGCTGCTGCAACAGTAGCCAATAACAATCTCCTATTGCTGTAAAAACCATAAAGGATTTGGATTTGAAATGGTCCAAAGGTCAGCTAATATTTAAGCTTTTTTTTTTATAAAGTTAACGAAAGATAACTAATCAAAAGGGTTTAACACAATTGAGGATCTTGTACAACTTGAGAGATTTGTTGATAGTAAGTATCATTGGAATGCTACGAGTTGACTTACCTCACTATTTTTTTATGAGTTTATGAGTGTATCATTTTGTAGAAATTTAAATGGTTTAAAATTGTTTCTCTTGTTTTAAAATGTTTGTAATATTGTATATTTTGAATGCAATATTGCATTCAAAATATACAAAAAAAAACTTTTGTCCTTGAAAACTTGACTATCAACTACAGTAAGGGCCTGTTTCTACTGGAAATCGCTTTTTCAAAAAATCGCTTTTATTCTCACAGTAGAAACGGGACCAGTTTAAAGAAAGTGATTAAAAAAAATCGATTAAAGACACGCAATGTATAGCGTGTTTGAACGGCAAATAACCGATTTTGGCTGTGCACCTTTTAGCTGCAACACAAAAAAAACGATTATCAGGTAAAATGTGACCTCCAGGTCAATCACTGCAAAGACTAGATCGTATTAGGCGCGAACTTTCAAAAAAATTTGTCCTCTTGTTCATGTCCTAGGCCTACAAGCTAAAAACGTCAACAAACATGAGGAGTGATGAATTCGTTTTGTAATTATTTTGTGTGGGATGGAAAATATTGCGCCCAGGACTCTCCGCTCTTTTGGGCCTACCGTTGTCCTCGTTCATAATTGTGCCGATGA